CCCCCCCCCCCCCCCCCCTCTGTCCTCTCGAGGACGCGTGGTCAATAGTCTAACCGCTAAGCATGCCATACATGAATACGCTGTCGAGCAGGCGACAGCGACAGCGAGGAGGGTCAGCAAGAGGAGGACAGCGAAGATGACGAGGGCGAGGAGGAAGAAGGCGAGGAGGAAGATGGAGGCAGGGAGCAGGAGGAGGAAGAGGGAGGCGAACAAGCGAGCGATGACAACCCCGCCGCCGCCGCCTCCCCGGCGAAGACCCCGCCTGGAAAAGGCGGCGGCGGCGGCGGCGGCGGCCCCGGCAAGAAGGGAGGTAGCAGCTCTACCCCGGCGGCTACAACCCGCGGGCAAGCTTCCGCGGCGGCTGCCGCTGCCGCCGCCGCCGCCGCGGCCGTCGCTAAGGGGGACGATGACAAGACCCGCAATGGCACGGCGGCGGCGGGAGAAAAGGAGGGTGGCGGAGAGGCTGATGGTGGTGTCGCTAAGGCCGATAAGGGAGGGAGGTAGGCTGCGATATCGTTTTGTATCCGCTCTCGTTTGGAGTTAGAAGGAGATTGTCCGATACTTTTCTAGTGTCTTTTTTCGGATTTGACAACAAGCGTGGAGCCGCGGTGAATGCAACTATGCTTGAAGGAATTGGACTACTTCATCCAAGTTTTGTGCTCACCACGCAGAGTAGTCTTAGTGTGCGAGAGAGAGAGGAGAGAGATGAGAGAGACCAGCACAGAGAAAAGGATTTAAGGTGAACACGTTCAATACCTTTTCTAGTGGTTTACCAGCAGTAAGGAGCTGCCACGCAGTACAGGCCATCTACCTTGTCTTCTTTCTCCTCGCCCCCCTGGTCTATCTTTGCTGGCGTGCGTGGTCTATCTCGTGGGGAGTACGGCCTTGTGTGCTTATGAGTCCCCCCCCCCCCCCCATCCTCTCCCTCGCGGGGCCCCGTTCCTCTCGATCCATTTTCAGGAAGGGCCTAAATCCCGCGGCGGCAGCAGCAGCAGCGGCCGCCGCCGCCGCAGCAACGGCTTCGGCAGCCGCCGGGCCGGCCACCTCCAGCAAAGCCCCACCCGGGGGCGGCGGCGGCGGCAGCGGGAACAGGGACCCCCCCCCCCCC